TTCTTTTCACACTCTAAAATTCTCCTTCAATTCCTGAGTAACTCAGTATTGGTGAAAAAATTGTTCCACCAACTTCTAGGTCCATTCCAACAGGTCCTATGGCTCTTTATTTTACTGACTTTCCCTGAATTTTGGCTAGTAACAGCCTCTGCATCACCTTGACTATAAGAGATGATGATACATACGTTAATAATAACTGCCAATTATTATGGGAAATCAAAGCTGTCAACCAACTGCAAAGGCAGACAGCTGCCAATGGTCTCTTCTGAATTATCTTAATTTTAGGGTGTGCTTTTCTTGTGATATACATTTTCAGTGTTAAGACATGTACAGAAATGATTTTTTTAACACTTCATTTCTAAAAGCTGACTTGTTTTCTCTACTGTTAGCAGTGTTATGTGAACAAAACTACAAGACGCTTATAAAACAATGCAGATTGTGAGGAAAACAATGTTGTGTGAACTAGCTGAAGATCTCCAAAAAATGAAGAAAACATTTCGGTCAGTTCATTATTACAAGAGACTATTGATTACTGCTTTAGGTAACTACTTTCTAAAAACCTTCAAAGTATCTTTAAATTCTAGTCAAACGTTCTATGTAGCTTGATGTTTCAAAATGAATTACTAGAACAGCGTAGTATACAGATCATTCCAAGAATACGATAGAAATGCAGGAGAAACTGACTCCAGAATATAATTGCTTGTGAATAAAATGGAAAAGAATCATGTACTAGTGTTTTTTCATGATACAGATATCTACCACATGGGCTACTTTTGAATTTCACAAACAGAAAGGAAATAATCACAAGACATTTAAAAATTTTATACCAAAGATAGGGTGTGTAATGAAACAAAACAACGTTCAAAAATTAATTTCTATGCCTTTCATTAATTAAAAGTACAAATGGATGTCTTTGATAATGTATGTATATTTTGATCCTTCTTCTATCACGCCTCCATCACAAGCGTGAACTTATGCTACACCCATTGGGATAAGTTCTCGATGGCACACTCATTTCAAACAAACAACAAAACACGAAAATAGAGAGTAAAAGTCACTGATGAGTCAACGAAAAGATCAGAGCAGTGGCA